TCCACATTGAGATCTTAAAAAAGAACAGTTTTGCAAATAAGCGAAGATGGCATGTCATAATTTACAAATTGCTTAATATCTCAAAACTTGGTTTTTGCAGATACGACTTCCTGTCTGAGCAGAGTAGATTAGAAAAGAGAAAAATGTGCTAGTAATTACTTAATACATCAAGAATGTATGTTATATAATTTTTTAAGCTTCACATAATAATTGTTTGGTAAAGTGTTTCTCTTCCACAGCATTGGAATTTATCTTAAGTGCGAATGTCTATTGTTCAGTTTTCCTTATTGTTTAATTTACTTAATTGGAGTGATTAACTGGTATGTAAAGTGCTTTCCTAGCGAAAATACTTGACAATTATTTGCCACGTTAGTTTTAATATTTTAGTTTTACTCCTTTTTATAACTGCAATTTACGCGCGACAAAATTGATGAAAATCTACAAGAGTAAAAGTTTCGTCTTAGATCTGAATTCGAGAGTATGATAATTTTTCGTTTTGTAAAAACGTGTTTTTACTGTGCTCTTCCTCTGAAAATATTGATACAAAAGCCAGTTTCGATAATAAACTCGAAATTCTTTCATAGCTAATTCGTAAACCAATCGGTTTTAACTGTGATGAAATTCAAACTTTCATTTTAATATATGTAGTTCCTTAGCTTCGAAATGTCTACTAAATTAGAAGTTTTTAAAATTTTGCCAACATAATTAACACAATTTGCACTTGATTGTTATTAACACCTATTTATTGCGACTTGAACATTACAATGCAGATTTACAAATAGTATTTAGGCCTTGTATTGATTTAAGCCATTCACTGATAAATGTTCACATCTACATAGATAACGGCACATTGGTGAAATGTATTTTTTTTTAATCCGCAGTTTTGCCGTATATTCGATTATTTCGAACCAACTATCTGCTTGAGTGTAATCATTCATTTACATACCATTTGAATCCTGCCTAGTAGATTTCTACAGTCTTTTTTCTACGCCGAAATTGCTGAAACAATAACAGGCACATTGAAACAATTTTCCTGTACACATTGCACAAGGAAATACTACACTTTCATCGGGCAAACACATTTTCCTGGTGGTTTTTCATACAACATCCCGCCGGGGAAATAATGCAAATGTCCAAATATATTGATTTTCTATACCTATTAATAACTACATTTAAAATAAAAAACTTACTCTTTTATGTGATTATTAATTAGTTTGAGATCGCGAACTGGATGCAGTGAGAGAATAGTAATGACTAAAGCGAGTCATCAAAACCATCTATTTTATTGTATTTTTGTATTTGTTGATAACAATTTCCATTATTTACCGAGCATTACAAATCTGCTCTGTTTATAGCTGACATGGGCGTGGGGTTATCTTTCCATTCATTTAATTGTATTTTTCTCTTTTGTTTAAGGTAATGGATCCCATTCTCTGTGTATGTTAATCTGCATTACATATACAGGGTGATTCAAAATTTGCGTCATTCCTCTGGGGGTGTTGTCTGGCGGTGTTATAGGAGTACAGAAAAA